AGTACAGCAATCAATTTTTAATACGATAATCAAGATCTCTTAAGATTTTAATTCATTAGTTTCAATGTCACATCAACAATTTGTCAATTATTTGAATTATCAGTGTCCTGTCATGTTTTACATGGCACTTCCAAACATCGTTGTGTCAAAGGTGATATCAAGGTCAATACAAACAATTGAATGAGGGTAAATATGAAACTAAACGTTTTATGACGCCATTTGTAGTCGTTAATGATCTCGGTGTAGATGCGACAAAATAAATAGAACAAAAACTAAATAAATAAATAAATAGAGATAGGAAAAAATGGGGAGAGATGGTGGAGATGGTGGAGATGGTGGGTATGGTGGTGGGGAAAAGCCCATGGGGGAATTTTACGGCGCCACGAACGCCCTTCAACGCCACATAGACATTTCAGGAGTCACGACGATACAGACCACTCGTTTCTCTCTTCCTCACGTCCTTTCCTTCATCACTGTTTATCTCTCTCCTCGTGGCAACAGTAGGAAAATATGCGTTAGTGTGTGGTGGCAGTAAGGGTCAACGTCCGACCCTCACACACCATATCAACCCGCAAATCCATGGAACGGCCGCATCGCGCGCGCCTGTTTGTTTTGGTTCTCCGGGCGTTACCCCCTGTCCGGGACGTATACCCTCCCCCAACAGTTGAAGTACAAAACCCAAGTGCATATACATGAAAATCTTCGTAACATTATCGCACAATCGTCAACCCACACACGACCATCGAAACAAAAAAAAAAACATACCATTTTTACCATGGACATGTACTTCTACGAATTCAGCCTATCCTGCAGCGATTGTCTTCTGTTACTTCTCATTTTGGACATGTCGTAATTATCTATGGTATTAATAACCCTAATAACTGTTAATGACATCATTATGGTCGAACTCGATTTTATGGATCAGGAAAACGTATGGAAAATATCGGACCATTTTGGCGGTAATTCGAATTATTGAGTGATAGGTTCATGAATTGTGTGATGATTATGTGTTTGATGGTGAACATGGAATTTCTATGGGGTTTTAGGTAGAAATATTCGGCAACGTTGCACGGGGATGGTGAAGATCAGAACAAAGTGGCAACCCTGTGACTTTGATCAGGTTCACACACCCCTGTCTATATCGAAACAGAGGTACAGGGTAGCTATGAGTCCAACTGGCGGTTTTGAATGTCATTTTTTTGTGGATTTCGTTTGAGAGGGAGAAAGAAGTAAAACTGAAATTGACCTTAGGCTGAGTATTAAGGTGGATCGAAGGAGCAAGGATGAGGGAAGGGGAATCACCGGTTGGTCGGCCTATCAGCCGGCATGGAAGGTCTCTGACCCCAGTGCGCAGTACAACCGGCTGTTAAAAAAAAAAATAAAAAAAAAAAAAAGACCCGTCTCGAAAATTTAGGAATGTAGGGGCGGATATTATTTTTAGGAGACTCGTCTGTTGGGCACAATGAGACATGCGGAATTGGGGAGTTTGGGAAGATATAAATGTACATGATCGATACACCCACGTGACTTGAGTCATGACTCTTTGTTGTGCATCATACACGTAGTAGGGAGCAGAGTAATGCCGGCGTGCACTCGATGTAAACAAAGAAATGTGCGCACGCCGGTGGATAACCCACGCTTACTTTTATTCTCTTCAATGTTATGTTTTCCTATCATCGATTTTTTTTTTTTCGCTATTCTCGCCTCTTTGTACTCTCGTTTAATCGACGATCTAGAAACAAAGGGGTGATTTTGTTATTCAATTGATGTTTCTTCAAATTTTTTATTTATTTATTTTTTTCTTTTTTTTTTTT